AGAAGGTCCTGTCCCCAGGAGAGCAGTGTGGTCTAATTGAAAGAGCACAGGTTTGCAGGCCAGACAGTCCTGGATTTTACTCCAGACCTAGCTGTGTGACCTTGGGCAGGTTAGTTGGGTTCTCTGATGCCCATTTCCTGATCTGTTGTTGCAAGAAGAAAGGAGATAAAATGTGCAAACAGAGTGCACGCACAATGGCTGGCCCGGCAGTCGTAGGAGTGCAATAAATGGAAGTTCTCACTTTCCCACTTCCCACACAGTTGCTCTGGCTGCCTGGCTTGCCCTCATTCCCCTCTTGGCCATTCCTGGCTCTCATTTCGTTCAAGTTTCCCCTCTGCATTTATCCATCAACCACTGTCCGAGCCTGTCCTCAGTGCCAGGCGCCAGGCCAGGGGCTGAGATAGAGATGAATGGGACACCGTCCCTGCCCTCAAGGATCTCATCGGCTAGTGTGGAACAGAGACATGAAAATCGATAATTATAACTCAGGGTGGTGAGTGGAATAACAGATCCTTGAACAAGGCATTATGGATGCACCAAGGAAGCTGGGGGCAGGGGGAAGGTCGGAGTGGCTTCCTGGAGGAGGCGATGCCAAGCTGTGAGTAAGAGTCAGCCATGCAAGGCTCTTCCTGGCAGGGGGCACTGAATGACCAAAGGTCTAGAGGCTAAAATTGGAAGCAGTTTGCTGTTCTGGAACACAGAGGGGAGGAGGGGAGGCTGGGAGCAGCTGATGGAGGGTCTTATGTGTCAGTTCCAGGGGTTGGGACCCCCTGTTTATGAGGAAACTCTGAAGGGTTTTAAGGGCGCTGGTGAGTATCGTCAGATTTGCATTTTAAAAAGCTTTTTGGAAAATTCACTGGTAAGAGGGAGACTAAAGGGAGAGAGAGTGGAGGGAACCAGTTGGGAGACAGATGCAGTGATTTGGAGTGGGGCAGGAAGCCTGAAGACATCTTCAGGAGGCAAAATGATCAGAATTTGGTTGTTGCTGAGGTGAGGCGGGGAGGGAGAGAGGGGGTCAAACAAGACTTGTTCTGGCTCCTGATCTAACACAGGTTAGATCAGTGAGGCGACACCAAGGGCAGAGGGAAGAGAATGGGATCTGGAGTAAGGGTAATGGGGTCAGCTTTGGCCATGTCACATTTGGGTGCTTTTGGCCACCCAGGGGCAGGAGAAAGTCTGGAGTTCCGGAATAGCAGCTGGCACGAGTGGAGGAGCCCTGGATACCATGGCATTTCAGGTGTGGCCAGAGGAAAAGAACCCCTAAAGGACCTCAGGGGAGGAGCAAGCAGCTAAGGCCAAGGAGGAGGGGTGGGACTGGCCCTGGATGCAGCGGGAGCAGCGGGGTTCCCACACTTGAGTGTGCAAAGCAAAGTGGGCACAGGGCACACTATACACTATGTGGATTCCAGGTCCCACCCCCAGGGAGTCTTGGTCAGTAGACGGGTGCTCACGACTACATCTTTTGTAAGCCCACACCCTCACCCAGGTGATACTGATGAAGGTGGCCTCTGGACTTCACTTTGATCAACCGAGTGTAGGGAGTGTCAGGAAGAGGGAATGAGCAACAGCACAAAGGAGCAGGGAGACCTGGTATAGGAGAGACAGAAGAGTGGCCACCGGGTTTGGCTGAGATTCCTAGCTGTACCCAACCTTGGCCCCTGCAGCTGCTTCCAGGGTGGGAAGGGGGAAGACGGACCACAGACACAGTAAACTCTGTGCACCAAGCACACTGACAGCTCTACTGGAGGGACATCTGGGACATGTTTGCCATGTCACAGCAAACACTCAATAAAGTGGGGCAGAAGTGCCTTCATCCTGCCCTGTGTGTCCCCAGCCTCCTCTGAGCCTACTTGAACCCTGGATAGGGATTGTATGGCCAGTTGCTTTAATATCTCTGATGCTTCCACCTGCTTCCATCTCACCCTGGAAAGAACCCTGTTTGTGTGGTTTCCCTCCTCCTTGCCTTCCCAGTGTTGCTGGAAAGAAAACAGAGTGGGCACTGAGCAGGCTTAGCCAGTGAATGGGAAATGGGGCTCCTAATGGTTTGAAAGGCAGAGAGTGGATGCCCTTGAGCAAGCTGCAGTAGAGAGGTCGGAGAGAGGCAGAGGAGATCATTATTGTTAATAATCTCTCATGTTTAGCTGGCAATTTGCAATTTTAAAGTGTTAGGATAGAGTGTTATATATAGGATACTAAGGGGGCCCAGAGGGAAACCCTAATTCAAATGAGGGGGCCAAGGATGGATTCCAGAGAGATTAATCATAAATGATGTGTAGATCAGCCTTGGCGGGAAGGGAAGGAAAGAACCTTCCAGGCAGAGGAAGCAACTCATGCAAAGACCAGACATGAAAGAAAGCCTAGGAATGGGGTTCTGATGAGGACGAGATGAAAGACTCATTTGTTCCACAAATACTTGTCAAGTGTCTACTTTTATGTCTGGTCCTGGGCTGGGTGTGGGGTACAGCCATGAGAAGGAGAGACTGCAGTCCTTATTTGCACGGACAATTTGGGCATGAGAGAGACAGAGGTTAAATAACTAAGCCCATGAAAACAGAAGCTCAGAGATGTTGGCAAGTGGTGGGAGGGAAGTAGAACAGCACGTTATGAGTGAGAGAAACTAAAGAGGGGTCCTGATTTTACCTGGGAGGGGTTAGAGAACACTTCTGCTGGTATGTGACATTTCAGTTGGGATCTAAAGGATGAGGAGGCCTGGACAAAGGGAGTGGCATCTGCTAAGACCCTAAGCCCAGGAAGAGCTCAGTGCTTTGAAGGAGCTGAAAGGAGCTGAGCATAGTGAAAGCAGGAGAGGGACATGAGACAGCCAGCCAGGTGGGCAGAGGCCAGATCTCCCAGAGCTTCCTGGGACTAGTTCAGGGTTTGGGGTTTCATCCCATAATAAGGTGTCTTTGTTTTTGTTTTATGAGGTTTAAACAGGAATCACTTTAGGAGAGGATCTATAGACAGTTCATTCTGCAGTGGTGTGGGGGGTGGATCTGAGAGGGTGGGTGAAGCTGGAGGCTGGCAGGTGTTGGTGGCCTGGATTAAGGCAGAGACAGCAGGGAGAAGAAGGAGGGGATGGCTTTGAAAGATACCTGGGAGGGAGAAGGGAATAGACTCTAGGGCATGGGGTTGAGGAGTCAGAAGCCAGGCCTCCAGCTTTCCTAGGAAACACAAGTTTGCAGGAGAAGATGCGGCACCCCATCCTGGACAGGTGGCCATAAACGGCTGTGAATAACAGGGCACAGAGTGGAGGTCAGACAGCAGGGACAGACCGGAGGCATGTGAACCTGGAGACCCATTGGGGAGGGTATGAGGAACTTGCAGAGGGCACCAGGCAGGTTGTGTAGGCAGGGATGAGGAAGGAGAGGGTGGAAGGAGCTGGGGACAGGCCAGCCAGGGGACCTGGAAACCT